AAGCAAAGGGTTCAGTGTTGGAGGGCTTCGATTATCATATGGGATCGCATTCTTCACCTTGTTGCATATGTGACCAATCATGAGGTGTTGGCTCACTTTTTGATTTATTTGTTTATTTTCCTTCTGTACGTTGTTACAAGTGATGCTTTTCAACAGTTTACGGATAAGAATCCCCAAATTTTATTTTGAACTACAAGCTCATGGCTGGTTTAAGAGGTTTGATTCAATAAGATGCAAGTGATGCCAAGTTTTAAGTCTTTTTGTTCGCTTTGTTATTTGTTATTTCTTTCATACTGGCTTGCTGTTTGAAGATAATATCTCTTGACAGAAAAGTACAAGTGTGGGACAGTCTAACGGGAGATTGTGCCAAAATATTACTCGAGCGCCATTCAGTTTATAGGACTGTAGTTGTATCTTTGAATGGAGATTTTCTAGTATCTGTTTCTAAAGATGGTACTGCTTGGGCGTTTGAGTTGGCTAAATTCAAGTGAAAAAGGTGATGGTACTATTGGGGTGTTTGATTTGAGATGACTGGATTCTTCAAGTGAAAAAGGAAAAAAGAAGTGATCATGCTTTTTTTGTTAGGCTCAGATGCACAAATGCGGAAGGTGTAAATTAAAACACCGGAGTAAAATAGTGAACAATAATCCCAATCCCAGCAACTCAAGAATGACAAAAGAAAATCTCTTGCAATAAAACAGGAATAATTCTTTTCTGATGTGGAAGATCAGATTAAACTGCGACCACAGAGCATAATAAGAATATCCCAAATAAATAAAATATGCAAGGAAGAAGACACCAAGATTTTACGTGGAAAAACCTTCAAAGTAGAGGAAAAAACCACGGGACAACCTCCGAACAATTTCACTATATTTTCAAGATAATTACAATATTTTTTCACACTTCTCTACACTAGAGATGTAAAATATGGTGACTCAGTGAGACCCACTCCTATTCAAATATTACAAACAAGGAGTAATAGAGATGATACCCGACCCGGTGTATTTTTCCCACACTTACAGGATTTACTCAAACACTCTATTTTTACAACTCACTGAAAAATCTAACACTCCAGGAACTGAATGTTATTCCTGTTATTTTTCTTCTGCTCTTTGGTGTGTCTTAAGCTGTGCTAAATGCCCTCTATTTATAGGGGCGAAAATGCATGTGAACAGATGAAGCCTTCCTCGCTCTTTCCGTTTTCCAAAAATGGTGGGCCGTTTTCCAAAAATGGTGGGCGTGACTAAGCCACCCACTTTCATTTCTTTATTAATTCTAAAGTAATGACTTATGGTGGTTGGCTGGATCCCACATCTTCCTTACCTTTAAATTTGGCCTAGCTAATTAGAAACTGAGACTGGTTTTTGTTATATTGGAACGAATTTCTTTTGTGTGTGTCTGGATGATTTTTGTTAAGATTTTATGCTTAATATGAGCAGTAATATGAAAGCAAAGCAGTCATTTCACATGTTTACTATAAAAACTTTTGCAAATAAACATGACATCGAACGTTCAAGCAAAAACTTGGTAGATATGCAAATAAATAGTGAATTAATAAGTGAAATAGGTCCCAAGTTAAAAACATGATTGATTGGCTGCAGTAAAAGAAAATAAAATCCCGCAACATACTTATTCAAAATGGTGGAGCGGAACATAGTTCTTGACAAAAGGAAAAACGTGGTACAACGCCATAAAAGAAGTAGGCAGACCGTGTATCTCCTCCTCCTTGCTTGTCACACAATCAAAAAGCATTAGATTACCACTCCAATCAAAAATTAATTTATCAGTCCCAACAATGCCCTTTAAATTCACAAAACCATGGACGGTGAACGTGGACACTAGGGACCACGACCCATCCCAAACCCAAATTTCCAAACTACGCATTTCTTCTAGTGATCTGTCAACACCCGACATAATCATAGCACCGAGATACCCACAATATTCCACCAGCTTCATATTATTTCTTCTAGTGGGAATGTCACTTGGGGGCGCAGGAATAAGAGAGGAACCAAACTTCTCAATAGAAAAGTCGAAAGACACGATATACAGGGATCAGGGTAATTGTAATTTAACCAGTAATAAGTGCCGTTTACGTGAACAGTCGAGTGTCGTGGCATACATAAAGGATGAACGACGCTGACTTGTTTCCATGAATTACTTCTCAGCGAATAAAGTTCGGCCATCGCAGCTGGATTGAGCTCGAGCAATCTTATCACCTTGTAATCCTCAGACTCCGAATCAAACCCGAAACCAAAATAACCTTCGGACATCTTCACATACCTGTAATATATGGTGTGAAAGAATTGATAAGATTATTAGTTATATGAAAAAAGAAAAAGAAAAAGAGAGAGATTGTGAGTTTCACAAGTATTGGTACATTCTGGGGTCAAAGTTTGAAGGAGGAAGGATTTTGAGTTCCCCTGTGGTGGGGTTCCACAAAGCTTCCCCTGGAGGCTTTGTATCTTTTTCCAGTACCAAAAGCAGCAATAAACCATTGCAAATCGATGAGGGATGGTGATGATCCTTGCCCTGGGCGATTGGATATTTTAAATCTTTTTCGAGTTTAGGAAATTTATCCTTGGTTGAAATTATCGAGTAATCTAACTGTTGTTCCTCGTCCATCCTTGATACTCGCGCCACCAAAAACTTGGTCTCATGCTTGATGATAGGAATAGGAATTCTGCGCAATTCTAAAAAGGATTTGAATTTTGATTTGGCGCGGGCCAAAAGATTGAGGGACATGCTTCTCAATTATTCAATTCTTTGCGCGCCGCGCTAGGAAAGGAAGAAGAGCGAATAATGTAGGACGATATGAGAAACACGAGCTTGGAATCTCACAAACACAACATATTAATTCTTATTTCATTCTCAAATTCAACTACTAAAGACTGGGAGTCCTTACAATAAATAGGGAGTCTTTTAAATAAGGCTACTAAACCTATTATTAACTTGTGTAACGAAACAAGATCTCTTCTAATAATATTTAATTCTTAATTTATATTCCTAATGCATTCTCAACTTCTAACTAACTATGAAAAAATAGATAGAGAGTCCTTACAATAGATAAGAGTCCTTTAAATATATAATTTCAGAATGTGCTGTGGCAAATCTCATGCTACAGAATCCTATCTGACAAAAAAATCATATTTTGGAGTTAGACTTGGATATAAATTAATATATGTGTAAATTATATTTTAATATCATTTCTTATTATAACCATTAAATCACAAATATATTTTAAAAGTTGATAACTTTTGTATTTCTTATCGGTTTTACATATATAATATAACAAATTAATCATCTTTTGATGAGCTTCGATTTAACATCCATATTGTATATATAAAATAAATAAATTATATTTATCTTTATAATAATAATAAAATTGTTTGTTAAAATTAATTAGAAAATAAAATTATTTATCAATTAATATATTTATGTTTAATGTAGTTATATGTTATAAGGTAGAAAATTTATTATAATATAACACATATAAATTGCATAATTAACATGTGTCATACTAAATATATAATAATATATACTCCACCCTATTTTTATTATTTGTCACTCTGGCTTAATTGATCATTGATTAAAAAAATGTCGTTTTAGATATTTTATTCATTTTTTTTTTTCATTTTTAACCCTCCATCTAAATACACAGTGTCTCTTCATATCTCATCTCCATCGTTTCCCATATCCATTAAATAGGGTTAATATTGTCAAGAAAAAAAAATCTTAATTAGCGTGTTGCATTTGTATTGAAAATTTAAATTTATTTATCAAATTAAATTAAATTCTATCAAATAAAACTATAAATTATACTATAAAGTAATAGAAATTGGTAAATTGGTATGTATTCTTTCAAAAATGATATTTATTTCAAATCTAATTGGTATGTTGTCAATGTAATAAAAATAAATAATTATTTATCTAAATTCTAAAATTACATATAAAGTTAAAAAATTATGAAGTACGACTGATACGACACTTGATGTATTAGACATCTAATTAAGTAAAAAAAATTAATCTATTTTGCTTAATATAAATAAACATATTCTACACTTATGGATATACATATCACCATATTATTTCTATTTATTTAAAATATATATTTTTGTACTTATGTAATAGTAAATAATATCGATATTTTTATATGATATAAGTAAAAAAATTCAACACGGGTTGACATTTTCATTTAATGTATGGGTGTTTAATTATTATGATTAAAAAAATATAATTTGACAATTTATTAAAACCCAAAATAATGTTTTAAATAAAATTAAATTATTTTAGTTTTTAAAAAATAAAAAATTTTATATTTTTTACAAAAGCTTTCTAATTCAACACCCGTGTAATACACGGGTATTGTATTAGTAATATTTAATTCCTAATTTATCTTCCTATTTCATTCTCAACTTCTAACTAACTATGAAACAATAGATAGACAGTCCTTACAATAGATAGAGAGTTCTTTAAATAAAGTTACTAAACCTATTCTGCAACAAAACAAGATATCTTCTAATAATATTTAATTACTAACTTATCTTCCAAGATAGCTATATTAATAATAATAATAATAATAATAATAATAATGATAATAATAATAATAATAATAATAATAATAATAATAGTCTACACCAGCCAACAAATACTCTGAATAGGCATAGCCGCGCCTATTTTAAACCATAAGCCCAACATTCCTCTTGGATTTTGAATCTGAACGCTTTAGCCTATTTTAAACCCTAAGCCCAACATTCCTCTTGGATTTTGAATCTGAACGCTTTATTGGGTTTGGTTTTACGGACTGTTGTGTCCAACCCAATCCATAGTGATAGTGAACGGGAAGACGAGAAGCAATAAATTTTTAATGTATATAAATTGCTAATTTGTGATTTATTTTTGTTGACAATTATTTCATTTTTTCCCCCCAAATAACACCATAAATAACATTAAACTCAGAATGTGTGTACAATCGGGCAACCAACAAGTTATAAAAGCATTAGTTCTTACAAATGAAAAATGGAAAAAACAACCTTGCGGTTAAGGTTGTTGTCGAACCGAGCTCTTCGCGAACAAAGCTTGTTCATGTTTGATATCAGCTCGTTCGTTTAGTAATTTAACTGAACTCGAGCGTGCAATTATGTTTGTTTAGTTATCGAACGAACCGAACAAGTCCGCAAACTAAACGAGTGTTCGCGAACAAAAATGTATTTTATAATTTTACATATTACATATATAGTATGCTACATATATAATATAATATATAAATATGAAATAATTAAATATTAAATAATATAACTTGTATGGTATTAAAAAAAATCAACAAACACGAATACAAACTTGTCGAACAATTCGAACGTACCACTAACATTCATCATATTTTTATGCATTATGAGTGATATATTGTGATATTTGGCCCTGTTATCGTGTGATTGTGCACCATTTTGTTTTATTTATTAATCTATCATAGAGGTGTTTTTGTCGTTGGTTTTGCAGAAAATATGCCCGGAAAAGCTTTGGAAATAGAATCGGGACGAAAAACGGCTAAAACAAGTGCAAAAGTGGACACACGACTCGTGTGGCTAGTGACACGGGTCGTGTGAGTTGAGAAAATAACAAGCGCAGCTGCGGCTTTTTCACACGGGTCGTGTGGGTTAAGACACGAGCCGTGTGGCCTCACATGACTCGTGTGACCCGGTCGTGTGAGTGGTCGTGTGAGTCTGGAAGTTCGCCGAAATGTTGAGAAAAATCACACGACTCGTGTGGCATGTGACACGACTCGTGTGACGCGCATACCAGGTCTGCGGGGCATAGGATTCTTGTGCGATTTCTTCCCTTTTTCAACCCAGAATCGCCCTACAGTATAAAAGAGACCTTAGGAACTCGTTTTTGGGACTTTTGACACCATTGGAGGCCTAGAGATAGCACGAAACACACGAGGAATTCGAGGAATTCAAGATTGAAGATTCGGGAACTAACGGCGACAATAGTTCTTCTTTCTTTTCTCTTTTTCTTCTTCATTGAACTCATGAATATATTTATTTTGAGTTTTGAGAATATGTTTAGTAGCTAAACCTTTTAGGGATTCTAGGATTTGCGAGTACTCGGATTATTTTATGAAGTGATTTTGTTTATTCATTCCGGTTTATCATTCGGTTATCAATTTCTTGTGCTTTTATTGATTGTGTGAATATAAGGGCCCGTATTTATGCATATTTGTGATTGACTTGAGACCGAGAGGAGATAGTTGATTGCTAGAATTGGGAAATTCATAACGTAAGAGGCTAAACAGACCGAGAGGTTGATAGAATCTTGCGAGGGAACTAGAATCTTAGGAGCTTATGGGAGTTAGTTGTTCATCTTGAGACCGAGAGGAGATAGATAACAATTAATATCTACGATTTAACTTGTTCGAGAGAAAGGTGTAAATTACTTTAGCGATTATCCCTACGAATGGTAAAATTAAATAAGGTTTGAATGAATAATTAATCTTTGCTAGAATAACCCCGAGGAAAGCATAGCCTAGAATCTATTTTCTCATTCTTGATTTATCTTAGAACAAGCTTTCATTAGTATTAGAATTTATTTTATAATCATTCATTAATATAGAATAAAATCACCATTTAAATTTGCATTAGACTGAATAATATTTAATCGTTTACATTTTGATACTTAGTTATTTTGACAGCAATCTCTGTGAAATACGATCTTGCTCGCCACTCACTATAGCTATACCATACACTTGCAGATAGTGAAAATATTTTGCGAACAACCACAAACAAGTTCACTATATAAACGAACGAACACGAACTTGTCGAACCAATAAACGAACGAACACGAACAAATTTTTTTCTTCAAATACTATACGAACGAACACGAACATGTTCGAAAATTAGTCAAACTCGAGCACGAAAATCTTAAACACGGTTCGATTCGATTCGATAGCAGCCCTACTTGCGGAGGAGAGCATAATCCCACCCCCTCCAAGCCAACACGACTAGAAGAAACAACAAAACAAGGAGCAAAGAAACTGACTAGAAACAACACTCACAATAGATAACATTAAATAAAAAAACAATAACATAAGTGCAGCAGCTACACAGTTGAATATTGTTTTGAAATCATCGAAGAGCTTCAATTTACTTTCACTTGTGAATTATCAACATTGATCCACTTAATGCTCAACGTTTATGTGATGCTAGATTTTGATTTATGTTAGGATATATCAACTACTAAATAAATGCAAAATGGTTTTAGATAGCTCAAATTTTGTCTATAAAATATTGTGTGTCTGAGTTGATTTCTCATTGTCTAAATGCGTCTCCTTCAAGAAAAGAAAGATGGGTTTTATGTTACGAGGCTCGGACTATTCTTTGTGAGTACTTAGCTGCCTGCTCGCTCTTTTTTAACAATCTTTGTCAATTTGTTGGGTTGTTTATAATTTCCTGGTCTGTAAGTTTTTGTATATAATTTGTATAGAGATACTGGAAAAACACATTTTGTTTTGTCTTTTCTTTTTTCTTTATTTCTCGTGCTCATGTAAGCTGAGAATACATTGTCGGCTTCACCCTATGAGAGATTTCAGCATGCTAACAGTTAATAGTAGATAACTGATTAAATTAGCAATTTTAACTATTTGATTGACTAGCTAGTGTTCGATAAGCTATTTTGAATTAGCTATTTCAAACTGTATTGACCAAAATAAACAAAATTTTATGATTGATCAACCTCTAATTTAACTCTCAAAAATAATGTTCACCAAACAACCTTTGATATGTAACCCCAAAATGATGTTTCACTAACAAGAACTTTTATCACCAACCACATTTTTTTTTTTCTTTTTCCAAACAAAAAGAGTATATTACTCAAAAAAAGGCCACTACTTAATGTTCAAAGATAAGGGGAAGAACACTAAAAAGCACCAAAAGAACCACAAGCTAACAAAAACAAAAAGGTATAGAAGAACTAGCTACGAGACAATAAAGATAACTTGAGCCTAGGTACCAAAAGCAGCAATAAACCATTGCAACTAGATGAGGGATGGTGATAATCCTGAGACATTGGATATTTTAAATGCTTTTCGAGTTTAGGAATTTTATCCTTGGTCGAAATTATCGAGTAATGTAATCGTTCCTCTTCCACTTTCCTTGACGCTTCAAACTGCGCCACCAAAAACTTGGTCTCATCCTGGATGATAGGAAATGTGCACAAATTTAGGAAGGATTTGAATTTTGATTTGGCGTGGGCCAAAAGATTGAGGGACATGCTCCTCAATTATTCATTCCTCCTCTCTGCGCTGCGGGAAAGAAGAAGATCCCTAAAACCCTATAACCAACATTCCTTTTGGATTTTAATAAATCTGTACTCTTTATTGGATTTTTTTTATTTTTTTTAATAAATTTGTACCTTAAATGGGCCGAAAAGTCACAAATCCACACTCTGATGTTTAATAAACAACAGTCCAAATGAATAAGAACAAAAAAAAAAACAAGTAAAATAAAAAGACTAATGTGCATTATATACTAATGTGCATTATATATTTTTCATGTGCATTATATATTTTTCATTACATAAAATAAAAAAAGAAAAATAAGACACACAACTTCTATAACTTTTATAAATAATAATGACATTATATGACAACGAAATTTATAATAAAATAATAATGAAGTATTATATGGTGAACCAGAATAAGTAAAAAACTGTTATTTTCTCTTATATCAAGGAATAAATATATACAAAATTAAATTTATTTTAATATAAATGTGTTAGTGAGATAAATATTAATTATTTTACAATGATTAACATGCTCATATTTAATATTCTGGCTAAAAAAACAATTATGATGCTCATATTTAATATTATGGGTTAAAAAACAACTCTGATTAAACGAGGTGGATAATATATTATAACCCTATTGTTTTTTAGATTTAACGTTGATTGAAAGAGGTGAAAAATAGATTATAACCCTCCTGTTAAAATAACTCAATTAATAACTTTGTGTCGTGCATCGTGTACTAGTTAGTTTCTTAGCCAATATACAATAATTTGATGACTTAATTTAGCTAAACAATATAGAGACTCAATGTATCAGTTACACATATTTAACCTCAAAATAGATCTAACAAGAGATTCAGACATTGCCCTGAAAAAAAAACAAGGTTCATACACGCTGTGGTAAATTAGATGGTGCCCTGAAAAAAAAACAAGGTTCATACACGCTGTGGTAAATTAGATGGTGCTAGAGCCTAGATATCTATGGTGTATTCTTTCCCATATGGGATCACATTCTTCCCCTTGTTGCATATGTGACCAAGCATGAGGTGCTGGCTCTCTTTTGATTTATTTGTTTATTTTCCTTCCTTGTACGTTGTTACAAGTTATTCTTCTCAACAGTTTACGGATAAGAATCCCCAAATTTAATTTTGAACTACAAGCACATGGCTGATTTAAGAGGTTTGATTCAATAAGATGCAAGCGATGCCAAGTTTTAAGTCTTTTTATTCGCTTTGTTATTTGTTATTTGTTATTTCTCTCATACTGGCTTGCTGTTTGAAGGTAATATCTCTTGACGGGAAAGTACAAGTGTGGGACAATCTATCGGGAGATTGTGCCAAGATATTACTCGGGAGCCATTCAATATATAGGGCTGTAGTTGTATCTTTGAATAGAGATTTTCTAGTATCTGTTTCTATCGATGGGTGTTTGAGATGGCTGAATTCAAGCCGAAAAAGGCGATGGTACCGTTGGGGTGTTTGATTTGAGATGACTGGATTCTTCTAGTGAAAAAGGAAAAAGAAGTGATCATGCTTCTTCCTTACCTTTGAATTTAGCCTAATTATTACAAACTGGGACTGGTTTTTGTATATTGGTACGAATTTCTTTTGTGTGTGTGTGGATGATTTTTCTAAGATTTTATGCTTGATATGAGCAGTAATATGAAAGCAAAGCAGTCATTTTACATGTTTTTACTACAGAAACTTTTGCAAAAAAATATGACATCTAAAATATAAAAACCAAAAAACAAATACGATCTTCAAACAAAAAACCTAGTAGATATGCAAACAAATAGTAAATATTAGAGTGAATAGGTCCCAAGTTGAAAACATGATTGATTGGCAGCAGTAAAAGAAAAGAAAATCCTGAAATACAAAACAAAGCAGACTGACTAACCAACCACCAGGATACATATATAGAGCAAACTGAGTTGAGCGGAACATACTTAATCAACCGTCGAGCGCAACATAGCTCTCCACAAAAGGAAAAATGTGGCGCGGCTCCATAGAAGTAGGCAGACCGTGTATCTCCTCCAACTTGCTTGTCGCACAATCAAAAAGCATCAATTTACCCTTCAAACCCAAAAAAATCAATTTCTCAGTCCCAACAAGGCTGTTTAGACGCATAGAACAAGGGACGCTGAGTGTGGACACCAGAGACCACGAGCCATCCCAAACCCAAACTTCCAAACTACGCATTTCTTCTAGTGAACTTGGCCACCTTTCCACACCTGATATAACCATAGCACCGATCAACCCACAATATTCCACGAGCTTGATATTATCATAATATGCATTTCTAGTAGTGAGCTCTTCACTCGGGGGTGCAGGAATAAGAGAGGAAGCAAACTTCTCAGTAGCAAAGTCAAAAGACAGGATAACACAGGGATAAGAGTGATTTAACCAGTAATAAGTTCCGTTTACGTGAACACCCGAGTTTCGTGGAATACAAGGATGAACAACGCTGATTTGTTTCCAGGAATTAGTTCTGAGCGAAAAAAGTTCAGCCATCACAGCTAGGGGTGAGTGATCTTCAGTCTTGCGCTTGAGCAATCTTATCACCTTGTAATCCTCAGACGCCGAATCAAACCCGAAACCAAAATAACCGTGGAACAGCTTAATATAGCTGTATGTGGGAGGTGTGAAAAAAGTTGATTATATGGAAAACTTGACTGATAAGTATCCATCCACTTGAGTCTATTTTAAGACTAGACTCATGTTTCATCATAAAAATTATTACTTTAACAAATGGTTTCATTATCATTTCAACCCAATTTAATTTTTCCAAGATAAAATTACACCCAAAAACTCTTAAGCACCACTCTAAGCACCCAATTATGTTTTGAAGAATACAGTTGGCCGATTCATCCTAACCATAGTATGATTTGTTATATGAAAAAGTTGATTGATAAATATCAATCCACTTGACTCTATTTTAAGGCTAGAGCCATGTTATATCATAAGACTGCTACGTGCATAATAAAAATTTATGAGTTTCACAAGTATCCGTACCTGTTGTCAAAGGATGAGGGTGCTGGAGGAAGGGCTTTGAATTCACTTGTGGTCGGGTTCCATAAAGCCTCCCCTGCAGGCTTTGTATCTTTTCCCCGTACAAAAAGCAGCAACAAACCATTGCAAATAGATGAGGGATGGTGATAATCCTGAGTCAATGGATATTTTAAACCTTTTTCGAATATAGGATATTTATCCTTGATCGAAATTATCGAGTAATGTAACAATCCCTCGTCCATTATCCCTGATGATTCAAGCTGCGCCACCATAAACTTCTCATCCTTGATGATAGAAGTTGAGCGCAAATTTAGGAAGGATTTGAATTTTGATTTGGCGTGTGCGAAAAGATTGAGGGACATGGTTCTCAATTATTCCTCTTTGCGCTGCTGCTGTGAAGGAAGAAGAACCAACACTTCTGAATAGGCATAGCCGTAACGGAAATGACAAGCAATCCTATATTAATGGATTTGGGTTTACGGACCATTAGGCCCAACCCAATAGAATTGGACCAGTTAATGACAAGTAGCGAATTTGTTCGGTATAAAGGGGATAAATCCATAACTAATCTTCTTGTAAAAAGATCTTCCATTAATAAATGCACGTAGAATTCCATAAATAAGTCCGATTTCAAAGAATGAATAATAAAAAACTGTCAACAAATAAATGTTCTCTCTCTCATTTTCATTCTCTCTCCACATTTTCTCTCTTTCTTCGCTTTTTCTCGAGGATTTGGATCGAAGGACGGACGATCTCGGCTTCCAGATTGAGAGGGTTGATCGACGGATCAAAGGACTTTCGGAAAGGATCGAGGAGATTCGACTGGCCATACGTACCTTGATGGCTGGTGAGCACACGGACCGCAACCAGGCAGGCTGTGGGGGTCGCGGCGGGCGTGGCAGCAGAGGGCATGGCGGGGCGCCCCGCCATCGTTCGCCTCCTCCGGCGCACGGCGAGGACACTCTGTCGGATGTTAACCCTTTCGGCATCCGGCAGGGCCAGCGAGAAAGCGGCGACAGGAGACGGAAAGCGGAGCACCAGGACGGCGAGGGCTGGGGTGATGGCCGTGGACCACGCCACGCGGCTGAGGACGGCGATAACCGCTGGGAATCCGGATTCCGCGTGGAGGTGCCGGAATTTTCGGGTGGGCTCGACGCTAATGAATTTCTCGATTGGATCACCGCGGTGGAACGGGTCCTTGACTTTAAAGAAGTACCGGATGACCGCCGCGTTGGGCTTGTGCGATGCGTTTGTGTGAACGAGCTGGGTCTTGGCTCACACAACTCGAAAGAAGGCGGCATCGGCTGGGTAAATCCAAAATTAATTCTTGGGTTAAGTTTCGTAAACACATGGAAGAGGAATTTCTACCTTACAATTATGTTCGTAGTATTTATAAAAAATTCCAAACACTTCGGCAAGGGAATAAGTCGGTCGACGACTACACTGAGGAGTTCTATAAGGTGCTTACTTGAATTGATAGTCGCGAGACGTCGAACAATTGATCTCTCGTTACATCAGTGGGCTTCGCATACCAATTCAAGATGTCGTTAACATGTTTATACTGGACACTCTTGATGACGCACACCAGCACGCATTTATGTTTGAGCAGCAGCAGGCTCGATGGACCACGTCGATCTTCTTTCCGGCACGTGCGGGTTCGAGTACGGGTGGCAACGGGGGATTCAGTGGGCCAGTCCTCCACTGGGCCCTCCGCATTGGGGCCGGGATGAGCTACCACACCTGGGATGGGAGGATCAGCTGTGAGGGCAGGGACGCAAGTAGGTCCTCGACAGGGTGGCGGAGTGCGCTGTTTTTCCTGCGGGGAGGTAGGCCATTGGCAGTCGGCGTGCCCTCGTTCAGCTGGTAGACGTTCGATGTTCGTTGATGGGGTTGGGGACTCGGATGAGCAGCCCACGTATGATGGACCGCCAGTTTTTACGACGACACTTCAAAGTCGATCGAATATCATCCTGGTGATGTCGGGACGGCTCTTGTCCTTCGTCGTTCTTGCTTGACACCTCATGGAGATGTTGATGCTTCTAGTCAGCGACATCAAATTTTTGAGTCCACTTGCACGGTAGGTGATCGCTTATGTCGGTTTATTATTGATTTGGGTTCTTGCAAAAATGTGGTTGCAGAGGAGGTGGTGGACAAGCTCTGGTTGTCAACGGAGCCGCACCCGCGGCCTTATTCGTTGGCGTGGATACACCGTGGCAACGGCGTCACCGTAAACCGTCGAGTGCTTGTCTCTTTCTCTATCGGCGCGTCTTATCGGGATAAGATTTGGTGTGATGTGGTTTCGATGGATGCGTGTCACCCGTTGTTGGGACGGCCCTGGCTATTTGATCGGGCAGTTACTTACGATGGTCGTCTTAATACCTACACTTTCAGTTTTGAGGGTGTTAAAATGGTCTTGCATTCGGCACCACCCCGTCCTTTGCCTCAGTCGTCCGCTTCTCCGGATTTATTGACAAAGACGATCACTTGGATTCGGATCCTTCCATAGATGATGTCAAAGATGATACTCGTCGGGCGTGGTTACCTGATGGTGCAAAATTGCTCGTACAAATTCGAAACTCCATTGAGCCTGATATATTTTCTTTGGTCAATCACTGTGAATTTGTCAAAGAATTGATGGAATATCTAATATTCTCATACTCTGGGCGTACCAACATCTCTCATATTTATTCAGTTTGCAAATCGTTTCATAGAGGAGAGCAACAGGATAAAAACGCTACGGCATATGTCATGGAGTTTAACAAGGTTTATGAAGAACTAAACTCCCTCCTCACGTTAAGCAACGATGTCAAAGCAATGCAGAAACAATGGGAACAAATTGTTGGTATGAGCTTCCTGACTGGGTTACGTCCAGAATTTGATGCTTTCAAGAATCAACTTCTCTCCGAATCGGCCATTGCTTCTCTCCGAGAGACATTTTCCCGATTCCTTCGGACTGAGGAAATGCAGTCTCCAACTCTCGGCACTCATCTCTCTCAACATAGTGCCATGGACAGTCGTGGAGGCTCCCAAGGTGTTTCTCGTGGAGGATCTCGACGAGGATCTCGAGGGGGTTATCGGGGTGGTACTCAAGGAGGTCCGACAAATCGTGGCTCTCGCAATCCCGAATCCGACCAAGTGGAATGTTATTATTGTCATGAACTTGGGCACACTAAGTATTCATGTCCTCAGTTGGAGAAGAAGAATCAGAAGAGGCCCTCTGCTCATGTTGCTACGTCTGACATGGTCACTATCTCTATTGATGAGTATTCTGGACTTACTGAAACAGAGAAGCCTTCTTCATCCGTTGTCGTCTTTGCTGACACAGGTAATTCCGCTATATGCCTCATATTTAAAAGCACCAAATGGGTCATTGATCCAGGTGCATCAGATCATATGACAGGTAACCCAAATCTTTTTTCCACCCTTGACCCTCATACAACTTCTTCTCATGTCACTATCGCTGATGGGTCTACTACTCGTGACCTTGGTTCTGGTTCAGTTCATCTTACTTGTAACACTCCACTTTTATTTGCCGAAAATCAGAATAAATTTTTCAAAATTTAATTCAAACATTTAAGGCGCTACTCATTTATTTTAAAATCATTTTAACATTTACCAATCATCAAACTCCCAAACAGGGATCCCCAAATTTTATCAATCACACAAACAGGGTTCCAACCATCATCTTGGTACTTAAGAAGCATTCTCCTTAATATTTTTCCAATCATCAATAATATCCAAAATTCCTTAAATCCATAAATCATAAATGCCATAATATTCCACGTTCATAAATCATGATATAAGTCATAAAATTCATAAGTGGTACAAATAGCGGAAGCATAACAATAATTAATCGGTCTTATGGACCGACCACCACTCACTCTACTCCGTCGTCGTACCTGCCTTGCTTAACCTGAAATGTTAATTTCAGGTGGGGATGAGCACAGTTGGAAAAAGTAGTCCTCACCACTATGCAATAAACATTTACATAACAAAACAGTAACAGATGTAGCATGATCATAGCATGTACAAGAATCAATTAAATATCCCAGGTTTCATCATAAATTCACAGTGTTCTGACTCATGTGTACATCTATACCAATAGACTACTGTTGGTCCACGTATCGTATGCCTGCTTAGGCCTTACGGATCATATGCCTGCTTAGGCCTTATGACACTACGTTTATGCCCCTCGGGCTTATACACCGAATGCCCCTCGGGTTTCTATCGGTGCCCAGTCAGTAGGAGTAACCCCTCGGGTTTTCATTTTATAAATACGGGACAACCGTTCGACGGCCGATACAGCTCACATCGAAGGCTACATGATTCGTAAGCATACATTGGTCATATACAAGTAAGGTAAACAATTTATTGCATAGACGATTTTAGAATAACAACCCGCTTGGTCGCGAATAGGAGATAACACGAAAGCATGAATAGACTACGAGTTTGGTTCGTCAAGCACCTACATTAAGTCCAGATGCTACAATCAACATCTATTTGACTTAAACGGAAATCTCAATTATACTTAGCCGAACTTGATTCGACTAAGTTGTTCGTGAAGTCCTGTGGACGTTGGAACACTTAGACTCGACACTAGGACTCAACCAAATACACATGGAAGTTCACAAAGTCCAAAACAAAGATTGACCAAGTCAAACAAACAAAGGAAATGGGAGGCGAGCCGATTTATAGTTTATAATACAAAAACCATTTATTTGAAAACACTAGTTTTTAATCACAAAAACGAGTTGGTCAGGTTATCAAATGAGTTAGGCTCTGAAACTTTAAACAAAAATTCACCTCCCAGAATTTAGTAAAACCACCGATTTTCAGCCCCGAACTCAAAGTGTGCTATTTTATAAAATTCGAGCAAGTTTATGACAAAAACGAACATGAATTAACAACCAGATCAAATGAATGAGTTAGCCTATGAAATGTTTATCTAAGGAACCTCAGCATGTACATAGCAATGTGTAAAAATATCAGTCCTAAACTCCTAACATGCGATTTATTAAAATTGCTACAACATTCAGCTGTTTTTTGAATTTTCAACATAACTGAACCTAAATGAACTCCAAAAATTCCAATATTTACACAGAATAAAATATACCACAAAACATGAACATCAACCAAAAATCATAATTTTTCAGCATCATACCAATTTTTAAAAATTAAAACAATTTCTGGCAGGAAAACAAAATAATTTATTTACCTAAGTTAACGGAATCCAAAAATTATGAAAATTTAACACAACCTCTAAAACAGACAGAAGAACATCATATTCGAATTTTAGAAATTTTCGAGCACTACACAATTAATTATGAAATTAACATGAAACTGACCAGAAATCATTCTAATTTATTAAAATAGCTACAGACCTCCTAAAATCATGAAATTTACACACCAGCTACATTAGCTACATTTTCAACAGAGGCAATTACCCTCAAAATTTCAAGGCAAACGGAACAGCGAGCAATTTATGATGAATTTAATATGAAATCAGCCACTATTCAATGTTCGAGAAT